TGGTCTGTGACCGTATCTTCCACGGTCCAATCCTCAATTTCTACAGCCATAGCCAACTTTTGTTTCAATATTTTGATGTTAATAGTCTCTCGCTTGGATACGTAAATTTCTTTTAAGTTGGATAGGGAAATGAGAGGTTTGTGATCTTCCAGGTATGTACAGTTCCCAGTTTTAGGAGGCTTCAGAATGTTAAACAGAGAAAGAATGCGATAGATCTGTAAAAACGTTGGTGTCGAAGGATGGTCATTAGACCCACCTGCTGCTCTAACTGATCCAAAAAATTGCTGGAGGAAGGGAAAGTTAAATATAGGATTGAGCATATGAGTACTACAAATTCAGTGCTCCAAGTGTTGTAAAAGCGCATATTTATAACACGTATCAACAAAAGCAATACTCATAATCGATAGAATTGTTAATAATCACAGTAAGTGTTGGAAGTGTTAATTACCCGAGACATTGGGCATAATTGGAGGAGAGAAACAGATAGATTGGAAGAAACGTTAAAAAAAATAGACTCTAAAAGATTCTGAAGAAACGAATTTATCAAGACTATTCCAGCATGATATTGAGATGAGAAGTTAGATTATTAGCACCAATTTGTTGTTATTCCACAGTCTACTTCGGCCAAATGAAATAAGAATTGTTGAGCTAACCTCGAGTGGATCTTGATTAATTCTTCCAGTACGAATACCCTCAAACCCTTGGCTTGTCAAATCCGTAATTAAATCTATCATCGATCTCAGAGATACTCAGAGCTCCTCAGCAGTTTCCCTGGTGAGAAACGCTGACTTAGGCAAAATTTTTTGGTCGACTTTTTCTTCCCACTCATCCAACATTTTCAAAGAGTTCAGAAGACACTAAACGATGGACAAAAAAATCTCTACAATGGCCACTGTGAACGAAAACTAAATGAATTGAAAGATGCTCACTGTGAAATGATCGTCGCCGGGTTTCACGCCATTGACATTTTCATTCAGTGCATCAAACATATTGTTGATGTCTCTGCAGAATTTCGTCGTATTCTCACAGTCTTCAAAGCCAGGGACATTACTGCTCTGATAGAACTGTAATCCATCAGCTACTGACTTACTGAATAGCTGGAGAGTAAAAAATATATGATAGTACCAGAAAAGATACGAATTGAAGGGGAAAATACCTGGACAGCCAATCGAACTCGCATTCGAGAGGAACTATTTAGATCCAAATGGTGTTTAGTGAGCTTTGAGCAGATACGTAGATGACTAGGAAATTGACCATCTACTTCGTGTAAAGTCTGAAAATGCTCCCACTTAATTAGAGCTTGCCCCTCCTCCCGCTATAAAGATAGTGAATTATACTTAGAAAAGATACAGGTGGAGTGGAAAAAAATGTGACAACGTATTTAGCATACCTGAAGAGTCTTATTATTACATAATCGGTTTCTGATAGTTTTGATGAGGTGAGGCGTGTCTGAGAATGCGTATATTTTTCGTTTCTCATCACCTGGGAGGGAGAACCAACTCTTCAGCTCCTTCTTCTTAGTTTTCACTCCCAAGGCCTCCCAGCAACTTCGATTAGTCGATGCTCCATCACTGATAATTCCGTGAACTACCGCCCCTGCTTTTTCCAATAATGTAATACATTTCACAATTAATTTTGCTAGCATTACACCAGTTGTGGAGCCCTTCGATGCAAATACTGCTACAGGTTGTGTATAAGATCCATAAAGGGAGTGGAACATGAAAACGAGGCCATGATCAGCTTTATCCTTCAGGGTCGGCTGTGATTGACTCTCATCCCCAAAATCCTCTAAGCCAGCAAACGAAAGGGTCTGAGAATTGACTGCAATACTCTGGCGAGTAAACATCTCATCGAGGAGAATAAAGCCATGTCTTTCTTCCTGTGTTTTAGCAGATAAAAACTCTGCAAAAAGCTTGAAAAACTCTGGATCAAACCCACACTTCGCCTTGATCGCTCTCAAATTCCTGAAATCGATTTATTGTTTCATATAATTTCACATTCTCTATAATTCTTGATAAATTTGGTTCAGTCCTACCTTTTAATCGTACTAACACTGGGAACGGGCAGAATATTATTATCGTAGATAAATCGGTATGTACTTGATGATTTCATATGTACTAGAGCACAAATCATCAACCAATCTTCTCCATATCGATTGCCCTTTAACCCCTTTCGTTTCGCTGCATTAAAAATCTCCCAAACAACGGTTTCGTGATGCTTATTTAATTCATGTTTTCCAAGGACTTGGGCAAGTGTCTCTTCTTTCATCCCTGCCACTTGCTTCTGACTATCCTCCAGTCGTTTTCGTAGTTTTTGATTGTCCACTCGCAGTTTTCCAACAGTCTTTCTAAAATTGCAAATTCTGTCCTTTTTCTGGTTCAAAAGTTTTTTTGTGCGAACAGAATTGTCTAGGTGCATTCTTTTCGGCTTTGGCTGTTCCTTAAGCCTCACACATTTCCTTTTCAAAGTTCTTTTGCCTTTGGCACAAAAAATGCACTGACTAGATTTCGTCAGCCATTGACAGTTCTTATGTCTCAAGGTATTCATACAATCCTTGAATGTGACTTTGCTCTGAATGTTTTCTAAAATTTCTGATACAGCACATCCATAACAAATATTAAAATTATGTACAGTAAATATTAAACCTTGCACCATGTCAACGTCTGTCACCAACCCATCTATATGAAAAGTCGTAAGATCAATGGGATGATGGAGAGCTTTTACTGTTAGTTCTAATTTGGAATTTATAACGATTTCTTTGATGTTCATTGTGCCAAGGGCACCATGAATGTGTCGGAGTTCAGTCTGAGAAAAAACTACAACTTGAGATCCTTCATAGTTATAATTTGTTTGACACCACCCTGCTGGTAATTGGAACTTGTTCTTTATGATTTGGAGGAAGAGAGGCTGGGTACCGTTAATGCTGGAGATATTCTGGGTATCATTCATCGGAATAGCGAGAGTTTCAGCCATGAGGTTGCTGCACAGTGTCTGATCATCAATTTTTGAATTAATGAGAGTCTCGATGGTGTTAGGCGTAAGAGTTTGGTCGTCGTTATTATTAGACATTATCGCTGGAACTGTCAAAGACTCTTGTCCCTCCAAAAACACTGAGACTTGTCCGCAAATCTCAAGGGAATTTGTCTTCAAGTTAATGGATTCAGAGCTTTCCAAAGAAACTCTCTTACAGCTCTCAGCACCAAGAAATATCATTGGTACTGCTCCCTCTCGCAATTGAGATTTATTGAGTGAAGTCTAGAAAGTGAACAAAAAAAATGCAAATTAGGTTCTAATTAATTAAATCAATTCACAAAAGTTGGAAGACATACCTCAGCAATGATTTCCCCATCGGGTTTCATGAACTTCTTGTGGAGGATGATATCGCAAGCTCTGAAGTGTTTGGAGCACACTCGATGATGGGATTTTAAATCTCCCTTATCCCTGCGAATAGCTCTAGCCCACTGATCCCGTAAAGATTTGTCTTTTGGGATTGAAAAAAAAGATACTCTTTCTGGGTTCGTTCGATACCCAGCCTTGCAAGATGACACAATACAGGTTGTAGGCATTTTGTCTTTTTTGAATTTGAAGGGCAACCATTTTTTATGCCCACTTGAATTCACTCTTTACACTCTTTACACTTTATTTTTATGACCCTGAAGTTTGCTGAAATAAAGACTTAACGACGGATATCCTATAAGAAAACTGGGCGATTAGAATTTTTCAATTTTCGTTTTGTTGAAAAAGCAGAACTCTAATTGTGATGATGACTGAATATAAAAATATATGGATAAAACGATGATTTTTATGGGAATTAATATTGAAAAACCTTCAACATGAGATATTCGCAATCGAAATTGATATATGTGAAAAAAAAACATAGTCACGGTTAGGACTACAAAAAATCTTACTGTGATTCCGTTCGATTTGATTTGATCGCAATCACTCTGAATTTTATCCGCTGTGAAACAATGCTTCTTCGTCACAATATACAATAAATTTGAATAACACAGTTGAAAAAAGAAAGAACATCACATCTGGAAAATTGAAAAATCTTCCTGTGACTATTCGAGTTTTTCGATTTTCATCATTATTTGACAATATATGCAATGTTGTTTTTTTGAGAAAAATTCAACGGAGGATATTTGCTAAGAAGATTTGTGAATTTCAAACAAAATAATAACTGCACTATATATTGTGACAAGAACCTGACGTGAGGAGTGCTTGATACAATTTTTCCATGCTTTATCTTAGAAAAAACTCAAAATTACGACAATTAGGATTTTCAACAGCGAATATCTCCGAACAAAACAAAACAAAACAAAAATATCCCCATAAAAAAAACTTATCGTTTACATTTTTTTGAATCCTCATATGACGTGTGATTTTTCGTTCTTAACCCCTTTTTCAAAGGGATCTGAGAATGATTGAATGGTCCAAATACTTAATTTTTCCAAATACTTACTTTGCTGTATACTTGGTGATGAATTCGCTAAAAAATGCGTTTCAGAAGCAAAAGCATCAACTTTGAAAAGCGGATGTAACCTAAAACTCCTCTTTCTTCCTCCCTTAGCCTGCTTAGCCCCAAGAACAAATGAAAGAGATTACATGTGCCTGCGCTAGGGTGCGTTCGAAATGACAAGGTATGTGTTGTGTGTCTACCTTTAACGCATAATCTGTGAGAGAGAAGGACGTTTTCTGTCTCTCTCGTACATTGTGCGTTAAAGGGAGAAACACAACACATACCTCGTCATTCCGAGCGCGCCCCTGTTCATGCGTTTTTTGCGCCATCTGTCCCATTTTCAAATGTACCCGGGACGTGAATATGCATCTAATTCTTCATTTTTTCCAATTTTCGAATATTTTATTCATTACTGCCTAATCCCATTCAAAATACACAAAAACAGCAAGACAAAGGGTTCTATCACCCCTCCCTTATCTGCCATTTTGTTGGAATTCGCCTCGCGAGATACTGATAGTGTTGTCGAATACGAGCAAAAGATATCGGTTAAAGACTAATTTACTTAAAATACTCTGAGCTGATTGCGAAGAGTAATTATGAGTGTGAAGATGAAGTTCAAAGATAAAGAGGCAGTCGAGGCAATTTTATTTTGTGCAAGAAGTGAATTAGATCTCAAGGATGGCCCCACCGACAAGCGAATTTTTGAGAAGATCTGCGAGTACCTGAGAATTCGAAAACATGATCGACCACGATTTCGATCCAATCTAGTTTTTGCTTGGCGCTCTAATTTGCGTAATTTGAAGACCAGAGTTCACGAAGGGTTGAGAATTAGGAAAAAGACGAGTAGAAAATCACGTATAAAGCTACACACCCAGGGCATCAATGGCATTACTTCTACGTCTGGAAAAAGTGACTACGAATTAGAAGTAAGTGAAGAATCTGAACGGACAACTATTGAACGTAAATTCACCCGTAAACCTTACGAATATTACGGCTCATTCGTTCTTAAAAACGAAGACATCCTTCGCAATAAAAAATTGTTCTTGGAGAAATTCCATTATTGCATCAGGAAAGAATTGTCGGCTACCTTCCACATCACATGTTCCATACAATTCCACGGAAATAAGCAACGCAACAATGGAAAATTCTCCGACTTTGCCTCATGCAGACAACCAAAATGTCCAAAATTTTTTAAAGTTACGGGTAAAGTGGAGAAATTCACAACCCCTATTAATGTGTACACAACCCCAGGTGAGTATAATCACGATCAACCCTTGGTTTACCAATTGCGGGGTGAAGAACGACAGCAATTGCAAAATCAGTTAAAATTCGCCAAACCTCTCACCATCCACGAGGAACTTGTAAATCAGATGGATTCTGAACAGGCAAACGATAAAAATTATCAATTCACTCACTCCATCAAAGTTTTGCAGAAAGCAAGATCAGAAAAAATTTCGGAAAATGACTGTCACACCAACGATGTCCTTGACATAATTTTAAATATATCCCATGCCAAAGGGAATCATCCCCATATCCGGCAGTTCATTGCTCC